TTCTTTCTTTTTTTGGTACTGGGGATCAAACTCATGACCTTGGCTTGCCGGCAGGCACTGTGCCGATGAGCTATTTTACCAGCCTAACACCCTATTTGTTATGGTTTGTGTCTAGATGCCCCTCCAAAGCCTCACGCCATCATAAGGTTCTCCCACTACCTGCCCCAGATGGCTTAATCTAGAGTATATGATTGATTTGTGGTTTAGTACTGGGATAAAGGTCGGCACCCCCTTAATCCCAGTAGACTGGATACAATATATGAGACAGAACAAACCTAGTGTCTTCTGCTGTCTCTGGTTGCTTTTGCTGTCTTGCCACTTGACCTGTTACCCGCTGCCATGTGCTACCCAGCGTTGGAGCCAGATGATTATGGACTGAACCTTTTACAAACTGTGAATAAACCTTTCATCTCTTTCTTTGGGGGCATGGGGGTGCTGGAGATTGAACTCACAACCTCACACTTGCCAAGCAGGTGCTTATGCCACTGAGCAAAATCCCCAGCCCAATCTTTCCTTTCTTAACTTGTAGGTATTGAATATTTTGTCTCAGCAATGAAAAAAGTAACTCAGACATCATTGTCTATCCCTCCTCTTTCATCACTCACATCCTCTCTCCTCTCTGATTCCAGCCTTCTGCACACACAGCTCCTCTGCAATGTCCTCCCTCCCCGCAGACCTCCTGGAACTGGCACCATGTGATTCCCACCTGCAGCTTCCCTAGATGAGCTTCTGCTGATGGCCCACTGCTGCCCTCAGGTTTCCGAGTGTGAGCATCAGTGTGGCCCCTCACCTTCACCTGGCCCACCTGGTTCAATGACCTCAGTCCCAGTGAAAGGTCATTAGATTGGGCCCTGGTGTGCAACTCTGGGTTCAGCCCAAACTCCAGTGAAGGATGCCTGGAAGCCAAATTAGCTGCTTTTGTACCTTGAGCACACCCAGCCCTAAGGCCTGGAAACAGCTATCCTGTTTGGCATCAGAACACATTACTGTTATTATTCTTTCCTTTTCAGGTTCATCACTTCCTTTCTTCCCATCCGGAGGGGCTAAGTATGTGGTGCTTCCATGGCCATCATTGTCTTATCCCCTCTTATAAGAACCACATGAGGCTGAGAAGGAATGTTGTGTTCATCAGTGGAACTTTTCTTTTTTCTTTCTTTCTTTTGTGGTACTGGGGAAGGACGCTGGGGCAGTCTCACTGAGCTACCTCTCCTTTATTTTTCACTTTGATACAAGTTCTCACAAAGTTGCCCAGGCTGGGCTCAAACTTTCTATCCTCCTGCTTCTGCCTCCCAGAGTGCTGGGGTTACTGGTGCACCACCACCACTGGCTGTAATTTTGGCTGCCAAGTAGCCTATGGTCTCACCTGGCCTGACTTTCCCCTGGCTCTGCTTAAATCCTGAGACCCGAAGTTTCCTGGCCTCCCCAAGAAAGCTGCGGGCTACTGGCAGGAATGAAGATATCATCAGCAGCTGCTAAGCTCAACCACTCCCACATCTGCCATTCAGGCACAGAGAGAGAGAAAGAAAGAGACAGACAGAGATAGAGAAAGACAGACACTGACGAGCCAAGGACAAAATACACCCTTCTAGGACATTCCCCTAAAGCTCAACTTCCTGCAACCAGGCGCTATCTCCCAAAGTTCTAACACCTTCCCTAACATCATCAACTGCAGACCAGGCCTTCAATATGTGACTCTTGGGGACATTCGAGATCCATACCATAACAGGTGCTACACCAAAGTATCACAAACTGGGTACCTTAAACAATGCAACTGGGTGGCTTACACAGCAGTAACTTATGGTCTCCCAGTTTTGGAGGCTAGAAGTCTAAGACCAAGTGGGTGGTGGGATGGTTCTATCTAAGCGCTATGAGGGGAAGTCTGTTCCCCCCTCCTAACTCCTGGTGGTTTACCTGCACACTTCAGTGTTGCTTCACTGCAGACTCATCACCCTGATCTTTGTCTTTGTGTTCAAACGGTGTTCTGTATTGATTTTTGAGACAGTGTCTCCCTATTTTGTTTAGACTGACTGTGAACACACTATATAGCCCCAGGCTGGCCTTGAAATCATCCTGCTTCAGCATTCTGAGTATTGGGATCACAGATGTGCCCAGCTCACATGGTGTGGTTACTGTGTGTATATTTGTGTTCAAACTCTCCCTTTTAGAAGAACATACTGGATTAGGACCCATCCTAATGACCTCATTTTAACTGAATTATGTCTGTGAAGACTCTATCTCTAGAGATTATATTCTGAAGCATTGGGAATTAGGACTTCAACAGAAATTTTTGGGGACACTTCAACCCATAACACCAACCTTTATAATAACTCCTTCGCTGTCCTTCCTGGCTACACTTGTGGCACTGCTAGCTTTTGCTGGTGAAGACAGTGTAAAAAGGTCAAAAAGGAGACAGCTGGATGGTTAGAGAATAGTCATTAATTTAGGGATTACAAAGGAAAGTCCCCAAGGAAGACCATTCGAGCCTGTTCGCAGCTAGTAATGGACTGAGGTTCACAGGGCATGGTGAGGCAGGAGATTAGGGCACAGCGGACAGGCTGGGGAAGCTGAAGTGAACTGTCAGTTACAAAGTCCTCGGACACACGCACAGAACTTGCCTAAAGCCTGCACATGGAACCAGGAGTGCTGCCTTCAGGTTTGTTTTTTTTTTTTTTGGTATCAAGAATTGAACTCACTACTGGGTGCTTGCCAGGTATGCGCTGTATCACTAAGCTCTATCTCCAGCCCTGTCTTCAGTTCTTTTCAGAAGAATTTGAGCAAATTTTCCATAGGATAGCCTAGATCTTACCCAACCTGAGAAGCAGGAGAAACAAAGGAGAGTTGCTGTTGAGCTCTGGACCACTGTATTCTCTCCATTATTATTATTAATATTATTATTGTTTTTTAGACAGGTCTTTCTATGTAATCCAGGCTGGCCTTGAACTCACTAGGTAGCCCAAACTGGCCTCAAACCGATGGTAATCCTGCTTCAGCTTCTCAAGTTCTGGGATAAACAAGTGTGCACCACCACCTTGGCTCACCATATTTTCTCTGCACAGTGGTTCACTCTCAAGCTGTGTAGAGTGTAATTTCTCCTACTTTTACTTGACCTAAATTTACTCTGAAGAGCACATTGCCCTTTAAACTTAAAACCTTGCTACTTGGGGCTGGGGATTTAGCTCAGGGCGCTAGGGATTTAGTTCAGTGGCATAAGTACCTGCCTTGCAAGCACGTGGTTGTGAGTTTGATCCTCAGTACTGATAAAAAAAAACCTTGCTACTTTTGCACTCTTCTTCACCAATTCCTTGTTCTGGATGTGATGAACCTGGAAACTACCTCTGGCAGGAGACTCCAGCACTTCAAACCCCAGTGACAATCAGGATTATCAGCCAGACAGAAAGATGAATTGAACTGGAGGAGAGCAAAGACAAAGCAGAATCCAAGAGCAACTGGAACCCATGAGAACGGAAGGGAACTCATTGCTACCTCTCTTATTAATGAACTTGTGATCTGGGGCTGGGGATTTAGCTCACTGATGCCCTACTGTGTGATTAAAAAAAGAATTTTGGAATATATTTGATGCTTTCAGATCCTGAGAGAGAAGAAGTGTTATCTAGTGGTTAAAATGAACCTTGAGAAGTAGGAGGATCTCTTGTCACTACCTAAAGTAAGCTGAGTTAGAGGGGAGAAACTAGAGGTGAGCCTGTGTTTTTACTGGCGACAGACTTGGCCTGGAGTTGAGGAAGATAACAGAAACTGGATTCTGGCAGGGCAAGAAGAGTCTCTGCTTCTACCCCTGCTGTTTTGGCGGGCCATCCTTTCTTCTGCCCCAGCAGGGTTGATCTCAGACCCACTAATATAGCTCTTCTTTTTCCTGTTCTTTCTGAATCCTCCTTCTTTTAAAATAAAACAACTTTTAAAAAAATTTGAGACAGGGTTTCCCTAAATTGCCCAGGCTGGGTTCCAATTTGCAATCCTCCAGCTTTCAGTCCATAAACCCTCTTTCAGGTTAATTATATTTCTTATATAGAGCATCTTGATGGACTCTATCTCCTGACTCACTCTGCCTGTGTTTCTTTTTATTGGTGTATTGAGGCCATCCATTAGCGATTATGGCCAACTTTCTCTGCCTCATCTCTGCCATGCTAGTTTTCTGTCGTTGTTCATCTACTTTTCGCCTTCATTCCAATAAGACACTTTTAAAGAGGAAAACAGAAACAGGCTTAACTCTTTGTATTTGTTCTTCTTTCCATATTGTCCAGATTTGATCCAGACTGGGACAGGAAGGCACTGTGCGTGGTAACTCAATAGGATCGGAGTCACCCAAGTGATCCTAGGACGCTGGTAGTGCAAGAAGAGCACTTCTGAAACATCTGGTTCAACTATCTGGTTAAAAGAACTTCTGGTTAACAGAAACGAATTGAACAGCTACTGTCAGGAGAAAATTTGTAAACTGGAATAAATTCTTTGAAATGGCCCACCCATTCTGATTAGTAAAGTGAGTGGAGTGATTCGCTGGAGTCCTCCCAGATTTCCTACCGTGCAAGCACAGAGACACCGAGCCAGCAGCACTTCCCCACCCAGACCCTTGTAAGATGTGAGCAGTGCTCAGCGGCTGCCGTTAGAAAGCAAACTTCCTTGTCGTTATCCTAACCCACCTTCAGTCTGCAGGCTCCCTGAGATACTGCAGAGTAGGCATCAGCACACGTCCTTGTCTGCCCCTCCCCTCTGCCTCTTCCTTCGGTCTCCTTTTTCACCGCGGGGTTCTAGCCGGGGTGAGACAGGGTGTCTCGCATTTATTAGGGATATACGCAGGCAGTGCAAAGACGCTCAGTCGGTCTGGGAACCATTGAGAGAGGTTGGGGTAGCAGCCTAGACAGAAAGCCAGGCAGGGCCAGCGCAGGCTGGAAGAGGGCGCGCCCGCCAGGGGGCGTGGTCTGGCGGGAACGCCCACCTCGGAGGCGGGGCGGGCGGTCGGGCCGGCCGCAGTCAGGTGACTCCCCGGGCGCACCGCGGGGGCGCCCGAGCGGTGCCGAGGCGCTGAGGGCTGGCGGAGCAGGCGGGGCCGCCTCACGCAGTTGCGACCGCGCGCGACCATGGGGGGCTTGAAGGACGAGCTGCTCAAGGCCATCTGGCACGCCTTCACCGCGCTCGATCTGGACCACAGCGGCAAGGTCTCCAAGTCCCAGCTCAAGGTGGGCGCCCAGCACCCCGGACCCTCGCCCGCCTGTCGCCGGGGGCCGCGGGCCGTGACCGGAGCGAGAGGCGGGCCGGGAGCGGGAGGGGGCCGCTTCCTCCTGGCTTTGGAGCGCGTCCTTGGCCGGGCGTGAGCGGGCCGAGGTCGCGGGGAGGCCAGGGTGGGTGTCGGGGGCCAAGTCCGGCTCCGGGTGACGCGAGGGGCCGCGGAGTTGGGGAGTCCGAGAAGGTGGATGGCTCCCCCGACGGCCTTTCCAGAGTTTTCCCTTCTCTAGCAGAAGAAGGGACTCACTCCCAGAGGCCCCGGGCAGAGCCACCTGCAGCCCCACACCCGGGAGGGGTGGAAGGAGGGCGAGACACCCCCGCCCGGCCCCCGTCTGCGCCCCTGGGGGACCTGGGACCTCGGACCTGGGCCGCCCGCGCCGCCCCGCGACCTCGGGTCTGGAAATGTGAGCCAGGACCTTGGTTCCGGGTGAGGAGCGCTGACCTTTGTGGGACCCCGCAAAAGCAACTGCTTCTGAAGAGTGGTTATTTTTCAGTGGCTGCCCAGACTCCGCCAGGAAACCGGAGCATAACGTATACATAAAGGGGTGCTTGTGGCTCCAAGAAGCCCAAGTGAGGAAAGTGGCGCTCGGCCACGAGAAATTGGCAGCTTCTTGAAAGTGTTAAAATATAGAACCAGACAAAAAGAGCCATTTACGGGTATTTTTCAGAAATACACATTTTGGATCTAAATGGTTTTCTTAGCCCTTTCTGGGAATGCATTTCTAAAGATTGGGTTTTCTTTGTGTATTTTGTGCGGTAATCAGGAAGTTCTTTTGAGTAGGGGCATTTATGCCTCGTAGGACCTGGCATTCACCCTGGCCTTCCTGTTGTTTGTTTCTCTTTTCCTCATTCTTAGAATAAGTCTGGAAAAGTAGATGGACAAACCCATGTATTTTTAAAATTTTGCTTTTAATTTGATTTTGAAAAGTTAGCATAGTGTACCATTCTCCAAGTTTTAACACATGTGAAACTCTCCCCTCTCCTGCCTGCCTGCTTGCTTTCTTTACTTTGAGACAGGGTCTCACTATGTAGTTTAGACTGGTCTGTAACAAACTTTATAGCCCAGGCTGGCCGTGTATAGCCCAGGCTGGCCGTGGATTCTCAGTGATCTTCCCCCCTCAGCCTCTTGAGTGCTGGCTTTACTTAACAGGTGTACACCAGCATGCTTGGTAGATTTTTCACACTTCCTAGCCAGTGTTTCTTCATTTTTTTTCTTTTTCAATTGATGACATAAATGGAGTGTTTTTCTGTTGTTTTGTTGTGCTCCATTTAAAATTGGGCTGCAAAGTGGAAAAATGTCCAGTGCTTGGCTGGCAAGACTGCCTCAAACTTTTAAGCTCAGGTGATCCTCCTGCTTCAGCTTTCCATGTATCTGAAACAGCAGGCACGAACCACCACGACTGGTGCCTGATGAAATTTAGACAGCAGGTTTGGCACGAAACGCAGTCCCCGTCCCTAACTTTTAGCCACAAAGTCATGTGGATAGAGACTTTGGAATTAATTCAGTTATGTTCATTTTGCCAATGTTTACAGAGTTAAATATATTTAAAAATTTTTGAGTTTCTTCTTTTTTGGGTTTGACTCTTAACTTCGATGTTCCAACGCTAGCAGTAGAATTTTTGTCCTAATTTGTTGTTTCACTCAAACAGTAATCTTTTGTTTTAACTTTATATAAGGTACCATGTTGATGTATTTATTTTGTGTTATTGAAAATGGAATTCAGGGGCACTGTATCACTGAGCTACATCCCCAGCCCTTTAAAAAAAAATTTTTTTTTAATTTTAAGAGAAGCTCTTTTTAAATTGCTAAATTGTCCAGGCTGGCCTCAACCTTGTTATTCTCTTGTTTCAACCTCCCAGAATGCTAGGACTATGGATGTGTACTCCTCCATGTCTGGTTTACCATTCTAGGTAAAATATTAAAATACAATGCTAATTTAATAAAAAGGTTAGGTCTTTTAGTCCCATAAGAATTATTAGATCTTTAGAGAATATATATTCTCTCTCTCTCTCTCTCTCTCTCTCTCCCTATTTGCACTGAGAATTGAACCATGTAATTAAATTATTTTTTGTTTTTTGTTTTTGTAGTGGAGATTGAACTCAGGGCCTTGTGCATGCTAGGCAAGCGATTATGCCATTGAGCTAATCCCCCATATAATTGATTTTGAAGCAGCAGTGGTCTAAAATATTTGAGACTTACCTTTTAAAACTACTTTTATACTGGGGATCAAACCCAGGGAGTGCTGAGCTATGTTGTCAGACCTTTTTAATCTTTACTTTGAGAGAGGGATTGCCAAGTGGCCCAGGATGGCGTGGAATTTGTGCCTCTTTTCCAAGTAGCTGGGCTTATGCCACCGTGGTTTTGACACAGAAAGGATACATTTACTTAACATATAATGGACATTTCGTGTGTTGACGTTACTCAGTACCAAAGGTGATGAGGTAGTAGTGAAACCTGGAAAAAAGAAACAGGAATTTTTGCCTTCAAGAAGTTTAAGTTTTAGGAGAGAAATCAAGGGAGTAAACCATTCCGGAAAGCATTCTCTCTCTAGATACAGATTGTATTACTCACCTAATTGTCCTTAAAAAAAGTGAAGTGTAAATATTGTTGGGTAGAAGACAAGATGCTGAGTGTGAAAGATATAGGGCTATGAGATTTTAGAGGAAGAGGCAATTACTTCTCACTGGTGGGATTACTTCCTGAGAAAAGCATCTGTGACGGAACCTCCAAGGGAAGAAAGAAGGTGATCACAATGTATAACAGGAGAGGTTAGGCCCGTTCTGTTAATTCAGTTGTGCAGTGGATATTTATTGACTGCTGTTAGTCCTGTGAACTATTGCAAGAGAGGGCTTGATTAGCGTTTATGGTGACTGCTGTGATAATTATTTTGGTTGGCATATAGACTGCGTGTGTGTCCTGTGGGTGTATGAAAGAGTCCTTACTGGTGACAGCTGTAGGAATGGATTGGAGTTAACGCAAGGAAGGAAGGCTTTGATTGTGAAGTAGATGACTGGGGCTCCTAAGTTTTCTGAGTATGATGCTGATGAAAATGGCGCTTTAGCAGGTCACTTGGGAAGTGTGTGTGCAGGCTGGCAAGGACTGGGCAGATGGGAATTAGGAAGCCAGGTGAGAGAGGTAGCAGGGGCTCGAGGCAGGAAGATGGAAAGGGAGTGAGTGGTGGGTTAAGAAGCAGCCTCTAAGGGCTGGGGATTTAGCTGAGCAGCATGAGCACTTGCACTTGCCTGGCAAGAGTGAGCTCATGAGTTCCATCTTTGGTACCACAAAACAAAGCAAAGCAAAGCAAAATAAACAAGCAGCTCTTAGCCTGGTGTGGTGGTGTTCACCTGTAATTCCATCATTTGGGAGGCTGAGGCAGGAGGATTGCCTGAAGTTTAAGGGCAGTCTGGGCTACATAGTGAGGCCCTGTTTTAAAAACCAAAGTGGGGAAAAACACAAAACAAACAAAAAATCCAGAAAAACAAAAACCCAAAAAAGGATGGAACTTCAACTTGGTTGACCAAATGAATAGTAGTGGCCTTTAGTAGGAGTTGGGAAGTTGAGAGAAGGAGCTATTTAGAGAAGCTATGGTGCACTTAGTTTAGGAGATGGAGAGGTTTTTTTTAGGTCTTTGATGGGTGGATGTTCAGCTGGAGATGATTGTCTTTGGAAAGCATGGCAAAGAATCTGGTAGTTGAGGCTTGGGAAAAGAGAAGAAAGCCCTTGACAGTCTTGGGGACTGGCTAGGGTAGGTGATGAGAGGAAGGAGAAAAACCAGGGACTGGAAACCAGGGATAGAAACCACTTTGGAGCAACATTGGGGCTGAGGAAGAAGAGTTTTAGGGAAAACATCGTCCGTTACCTTTGAGAGTTAATTTATTGTTATTGCCATATGTATGTATGTGAAGCGAGCACTATTATTGCTATCTGTACCTATTTTGGACATTATAGAATAATAAATTTGTTTTCTTCTTCCACAGGCTCTAAACTACATATTTATTCTCAAAAAAGAACTTTTGAGTCTTGGCATCATCTTAGGATAAATATGTATTTATTATCTTTAGGACCCCCAGTATATACAAAGCTTGTATATTTTACATCTGATATATTTTTAAATGTTCATTGTCTTTCTCTGCTAGCTTTTGAAACTGTTTTTCCCCTTTTTTCTTCTTTAAAAAATTTTTTTTGAGATAGAGCCTTGCCATGTAGTCCAGACTGGCCTCAAACTCACTACGTAGCTCAGGTCGGCCTCAACTGAATTCGAGGCAGTCCTCCCGCTTTAGCCTCCCAAGTGCTCGGATTTCAATTGTCTGCCACTGAGCCTGGGTTGTTACGGTTAATTAATAGCATATTTATGGATGAAACAAAAGTTACTAAGTTTTTTTTTCTTTCTAAACAAATCTTTGGTGTAGGCTGATTTCCAATAGATTGCAGTGAGGGGCCGCCCTGCTTGCTTCAAGGGTGTGTGCTCACTGCTGTGCCTTACTAGACCTGCCACAGCCAATTTCCCAGGACGGAGGACGCTCCACGCCAGACTCTAGTCCAGTGTGTAGCTCGGCACCCCCTTTGAATTAAGTTTTAAAACTTAATCCAAAGGAAACTTTGATAACGTAATAAAGATCTTTTTTTTGTCGTTATGAGACAGGGTCTCACTATGTACTTCAGGCTGACCTTGAGCTCACTTTGTAACCCAGGTTGGTCTTGAATTCACAATGATTCTCCTGCCTCAGCTTCCCAAGTGCTGGGATTATAGATGTGTACCACTGTTTTTTTGGTATCAGGAATAGAACTCAGGACCTCAGGCTTACCTCAGGCAAGTGCTGTGCCACTGAGCTAAATCCCCAACCCCCTGTTTTTGTTTTTGAGAGAGGATCTTGCTTATGTAGTTCAGGGTGGCTTGGACTCATTATGTAACCCAGGCTGGCTCAGACTTGAGGGATCCTCCTGCTTTTCTGCC